GCAATTAAAAGGTTTATTAATAATCAATTTTTCGACACCATGAATTAGCGCGTACAATTTTTAATGAAAATTTTATGAATTTCGTTTTAAAGTATAAATTTAAAAATAGAACTTTTTTTGCTAATATAATTTAAAATTTTATAAAAAAATAGGGTAAAGTAGACAGTTATCGAACATTTTATAGTTATTGGACAATTAACATTAATACTGTAAAATCAAGAGTTCTATAAATAGTTACTTTAAAGTCAAATCATTATATGACACTGTATACAATTATAAATATCTCAGTCGGTAAAAATATAGAACTACTTCATTTTGGATCCAATATAGGACAAAAAAGTTCGCACGTTACTTGGTGGTAAGATTTTGGCTTTTTTGTTAAGAGCCGGGCTGTGTTTAAATTACAATAAAAAATATTTCTAAAAAGTGTACAGATCAGTGTGTGGTATCAATATGCTCCTCATGGTTTAAACATTGTCACTTTAATGCGTTTTAATTTTAATTTTAAAAACAAACAGTAAAATGGCCTGTGTCCAATTACTGGTTGGTAAAAAATGTAAATTTCTTTATTGGACGTATGTCCAATATCATACTCTATTTGTATCCGGGACATTTACCAGCCAATTCTTATGTAAAACTATAAAAGTCAATTCCATATTATATGTAAAATTAATTATATTCTAAAAACTGTTCTACTTTTATAACTTTTGACGACATTCAGCAAATAATATTTCATAGGAATTGACTGCTAAATGTCCTGGATACAAATTGCTGTTGACTATAATTATTAGTGGCTGCTTTTTGCTATAACATTTTTAACTAAATCATTTTTAGAGAGTAAGGAATATAGTGATTTCTTCGTCACAGGACATCTTGCAGAATAACAGTTATTTAAATACAGTGCATGATAGAGAACATAAAAAAGTAATGGCAACAAAATTAATAAATTCGGAAAATACTTTTAACATACCATCCGAAAAAATATTAGATATATATAAATCATCCTGTTCCGGCCTAAACATTATAAATGCTTCACAAACTAGAGATACCACACTTAATGCCATTTGAAACAAACTAGTTAGACCAAGGAATTAGTAGTTACCTTCAGAATCCAGAAAGGGATGAGGAATCCGAGAAAGAAATATTTGAATTTTATAGGTATACCTACGTATTTATAAAATATTGCATACCCAGCCAATTACTGTTTTATTTTTACCGCCAAAAAACTACAAGACGCGCTTCGAGGGACCAAAAATCGATTTCTGGATTGGGATCGTTATAGAGGAATTAAAGTCAGAAATAATACTGCTTGAAAATATAAAATAGTGATGAGGGACCTCTTGATATTATTATTAAGAGCTAAAATTTTAACACGATTATTTTTTTGACATAAACTAACTACTAAACAATATTTTTTATATGGGTGATTCTACAAAAGTTGGACAACTTGATATCATCAGTCAATAGAGTAGGTATTTTAATATTTTTTGTAAATATTTTAGTATATTACAAAATATCCAGGTTTTTTTAACTTGTCCACCCAATTTTAATGTATTTTTTGAAATGTAGAAAAACATAATAAATATTCAAAAAATCAGTACCTTGGCGTGTCACAACTCCTGAATCAAATATTTGAGTGATTTTATTTTAAAATATATTCAATTTATCTTAAATTTTCATTTTCACTACAAAGTATAAAACATTAGAGAATGTATTTTTCATATTTTATCATAGATTCGAATAATAGCAATTTTTAAAAAATTGATAATCTTTGTATTTACTTTTACCCGTCAGTTCTGCAAATGTAAAAAAAATCAAAATTCCTCAGAAACTGACGTAGAACGCCTCGTATTTTGTAAAAATATTGTATTTTTTGATCCAAAAATACAGTTTATTAAGATATACACTTTAAAACAAATCCGGTTAATATCGCACAATAAATAAAGATTTTACAGGGGTGAGTGATCAAATGGGCCACACTTTATATTGTAACACAAAAACGTGATTTAAAAAACGTAAAAATTAGGATTTAAACGCGACATTGCGAGTTATTAATAGTTGGTTTCTATGGTAACGCTTCTGGCTTTTGACAGTGGCAGTGACAGTTCTACATGCAGTGTTAATTAAAATTTAAAAATGAGTTGTAAATACGAATGAAGTCCAGTACAAAGAAAAAAATGTTTAAAAAAAGGTATGGGAACAAAACATGACGATAAGAAATCGATAATTGTTTTCTCTTATGCAATTATACCTGTAGAAGTGGCATATAAATTTTTGTCAACATTCCAACAAAGTTTAACAATAATAAACGATAACAGCCCATGTATTCTTAGCAACTATTAGCAATAATTTTTTACTCGAAAACCAGACGGTCAATCTTTGTAAAACTTTGTAAATATTTTTTAAGTAGACTCTACTACAACCTAAAAATTGTTCAACATTTTCTCATAGCGACGTGTCCGAACCCTTAAATGTTAAAAAATACAATTTCGACAAGTAGTAGAATTATTAGATAGGTTAAAAAACTTTAAAGCTGTGTGTCTGATTACTTATTAGTGATAAGCTAAAATATTTTACATCATCACATTTATACACAAAATAACCTCCTCTATTATGCGGTAAGGTACTTTGGACACTCGGTATAAGCTATAATCATTTAAATATGTAGAAAAATAATGTTTAATATTCTATTCAATTAAAAATAAAATTCTGTATTTTTTATAACTATATAAATGACGTTTTTAAAATAATATATTGTTCTCATATTAATTGAATAATAAAAATAAATTGTTCAATATTCGCCTTTTTATGCTGGTATGTATTCAAATTTAATTTAAAATCAATTAAAATTGCAATTGCCCGTAAATTAAAACCTTTATTTAGGTAATTTACCTATTTAATTTTTCTTTTGAATTTGTTAATTATTAAAATATTACTCGCAGTTGTCAACAGTATTAAAATAGGAAATTTTTCTGTAAGTACGAATCCCATTAAGGATATAATGGACTGTTTCAAAAAAGTTTTTCTTATATATGTATATGGGTGATTCTACAAAAGTTGGGCAACTTTTAACCTCATTTTGTTTATATACACTGAAAAAAATAAGCTGTTGAAACAACAAAAAAAATATTAATTCAACTCTTTATGCACTTTAAATACAAGCAATGGTTTTTGCACGTTTACTTAACCATCTAAAAATGTCAAATTGTATTGTTTAATTGAACAACAAATAACAGTCAAATGAACAAAATTAGGATAATTGTTCCAATCTGCTAATTTTGTTAATTTAACATTCTTAGAGTGTTAAGGCAACTTTATGAATGCAAATTTAACATTTTAAATTTTAAAATAACATTTACAATTTGTTAAATGAACAAATTTAATGTTGTGGATTAAACAGCAACTAAACGTTAATCTAATAGTTTTTTTAGGTAATCCCAACAATTTTAGTATTTGATTTAACCAATTCCAGCTATTAAATCAAAATAGGATAAAAACTTTAATTCAAACAATTAGTTCATGTAAGATCAATATTTTAAATTGTCAAATGAACAAATAAACTTTGACAAACTCTGACTATTGCTTTGACACCAAAATATAGATTAATCCAATAGGTTTTTTGTTGAAACAACATTTTCAAAAATGACATTTAGGCAAATGTTAACTCAACGAATATATTTTTTTCGGTGTAGTTTTCGGAGAAAATTAAACAGTATTTTGTTATGAGAACATAGATAATATAATAAATATACTGTTCCAGACCGGGCCAGTCACTTTTTCAAACAGTTTCTGAAATATCTGTGTTTTCTAAATTTGAATGCAAGGGAAGTGACGAGTATACCAGGGTACTAATTAAATACATAATTTATTGGAAAATATAAGATTTATTGCAACTATGAGCATATTATACATTAAATATCTTAAAATCACATAATACCACACATCAGTGGCGGATGGTGGATTTTGAGTATACCGATATCTCAATTATTAGATAAATTTATATGAGTTTATAATGACATTAAATAAATAAGTTCTGCGCAAGCAGAATTTAAATTGAAGTTTGTGAAAAAAAGATAACCGAAACATCGAACATGGAACTGACGACATATATGAATTTTTAAAAATTTACTTTAAAAAAGTGACATAGTAGGCCTTGTAATTTGTAAAAATATGGAGTTTTATGTTCCAAAAATACAGTTTATCAAGATCTACACTTTATAACAAATCCGGTTAAAATCTCACAATAAATAAAGATTTTACAGGAGTGAGTCGCAAACAAATGGGTCACACTGTAGATGTATATTTGTCCTTGAAAAAGTTTGTTTGTTTTTTTTGTTATGACTTTTTATAAAAAGGCTGCAAAATAATTTAAATATTTACTTTCCTTAAATGTACTACAATTAATGAAGTCTGCAAATTTTTATTGACATTTTTGTAAAAAAACTAACCATGTAGTTTAAATTTTTAATTGATGGGTATTAATGTCTGACTCAACGATTAATATAAAAAAGCTGGTAATTACATCAAATTACCTTTGCTTTAAAAAGTACAGCGCTCAATTTGTAAATCATTTCGTTCTGTAAAGTGTAAGAGAAGATAACAATGGATAAAAATAGGGTATGATTAAAACTCCCAACATACTTTGTGATATTAAATTCGCTTTATATTAAAATTTGTTGTAGATTTTTCCCGACAACATGCATCTAAAAATATGCATTTATTCTTTAACGGGTATAGGAGTATGGCCCATGGAATTAAAAAACTATCCAATTTTAAGCAAAGTGTATTTTATATGGTCAAACTTGATGTATTTTTATAACTTGGGATATATTATAACGATGTTCATGGAAGCTTACATTCTTATTTCTCAGAATAATATAGCGAAATTGATGCAGAATATGGGATTATCTTTGTTATGTTTGATATCACTCTTTAGAGTTACTATAGTAAGAGGTGACTTGTCGAAAAAGTTTGTGAAGTTAATCTTTGATTTTGAAAAAATGGTGTTTCAATCTGAAGATGAAGACGTCATTAAAATTTACAAAGATCATGCAAAATTAAGTCAAAATTTGAACTTATTTTTCATGGCGGTAGGTTATTTAACCACCATACCTTTCTACGTTATACCTATGTACGCTGAAAAACAACACCCAGAACTATACACACCGAATAACGTAACCGGAAAAATCGACAACCAGCGCCCCCTGCCGTTTTCTTCATGGTACCCGTACGATACCAATGACCATTACGTCGAGACTTTTGCCTGGCAGATATTCACAGGGCCTGTGATAGAGGGGTTTGTGGTGTACACAGATTCCTACCTGTATAGTTTGATGGTTTTCGCGGTGGGGCAGATGAAAATTTTGCAACATATTCTCGGAAATTTTAAATTGTACAGTAAGAAATTCCAGGAAAGGTTAAATGTTAATGAGGAGCGTGCCTCACAAGTCGCCATTAAATCATGTATTTTGTTTCATCAAGAAATAATTCAGTAAGAGAATTTTTAAATTAAAAATAAAATATTTTTTTCCTGATGTCAGTTAAATATTTTTGAATTTATCGTATTTATTTTGCGACATTTTGTCAGGTCTAGAGTCATATGTAGATAATGTTGATGTTCGGCATTATTATATAGGTTATGTCCATACATTTATTTGTAATTTTACATATATCTGTAAAATGTATTTGAATTTATTTTTATTTTTATTCTAAACCGAAAAAAATAATGTACCTAGTTGAGTTAAGGTTTGCCTAAATGTCATTTTTGAAAATGTTGTTTCATCAAAAAACCTATTGGATTAAATTAATATAGATTAAATATATATTTTGGTGTCAATGCAATAGTCACACAGATCATAAAACTTAGTCAGAATAGTCAGAGTTTGTCAAAGTTTATTTGTTCATTTGACAGTTAAAATATTGATTTAACATAAACTAATTTTTTGAATTAAAATATTTATCCTATTTTGATTTAATAGCTGGAGTTGGTTGAATCAAATACTGAAATTTTTAGGATTACCTAAAAAAACTATTAAATTAACGCTTAGTTGCTTTTTAAATCCTAACATTAAATTTGTTCATTTAACAAATTGAAAATGTTGTTTCATCAAAAAACTTATTGGATTAATCTATATTTTGGTGTCAAAGCAATAGTTAAATTGTCAAAGTTTATTTGTTCATTTGACAGTTAAAATAATGATTTAACATAAACTAATTTTTTGAATTAAAATCTTTATCCTATTTTGATTTAATAGCTGGAATTGGTTACATAAAATACTGAAATTTTAAGGATTACCTAAAAAAAACTATTAAATTAACGTTTAGTTGCTTTTTAAATCCAAAACATTAAATTTATTCATTTAACAAATTGTAAATGTCACTTTAAAATTTGTTAATTTTGCATTCATAAAATTGCCGCGAAGGGCGCTTAGAACACCCACGCCACGTCATTAGACGGTGTTGATCAAGTGATGTTCTTACATCTCGCCTCAGTAGGCTTACGATAGGAGTATATAAGCTCAGGTAGCCGTTTGTTTTCGGTGTTTACCACAGTGGAACTTCCACTATACCAAATTGCCCGACACTGATTATAATCATGATGATAATTATCAGTGACTGATAAGACCCCCAATATAGGTCGAATCAGCTGTCTGTCGGTAGGTATTTGAAGTAGGTGAAACGCACTCAAAACAAAAACTCTGGCGAGGAAAGGTTCAATTCTTTCTCTTTATATTAATTCCATAATTTAATTAACCCAACATTAGCGCAAATTATTTTAATTTAACATTTTATTGGTGTTAAGTGAATATGCTAAAAAGGTTACCTGGACATTTACCTTAACATCTTAAACATGTTAGCACAACCATTTTCGAAATATTACTCCGACATATCAAGAATGTTTAATTAACTCAATTGTTACTGGAGCAAAGTTTGTTAACATAGCATGTATTGTATTTCTGGTTGGAGTGGTAGAACAGTTTAACTGAACTCTCACCTTTTGTATGTAATGTAATGTTATTTATATACAATAAAGATATTTATTATTATTATTATTATTATTAACCAGATTAGCAGATTAGAACAAATATTCTCATTTTGTTCATTTGACTAATATTTGTTGTTCAATTAAACAAAACAATTTGACATTTTTAGATGGTTAAGTAAACGTGCAAAAACCATTGCTTGTATTTAAAGTGCATAAAGAGTTGAATTTATATTTTTTTTTGTTGATTTAACAGCTTATTTTTTTCAGTGTACGATGTTTAATAATTTGAGTACTATGATATGAAATTTTTATACGTTTGAAAAAAATCACTTTATTTAAAAAATAAATTTCTCTTAAATTTTATAGGAATATCCTAAAGTTATTTTGCTGCAAGCCTTAATTTTTCTTCTTTTAAAACCATAAATCAATCCTAAAATTTCTAAAAATTCAATCTTGCAAGATGGTTTTAAAAATATCCAACAAAATTGTCTACTTATGCTTGAATGGTTTCAAGTTTCGAAATTTTAGGTACGTGGAAGAGCTGAACCGGGCTGTTCGAACTGTGATGTTATTGGATTTTATTTCTTGTTCCATTCAAATGAGCGTTATTGTTTTTCAAATTATTATGGTAAGACTAAAACATAAAATAAGTAGCAAAAATTATTTTAGTACACGTCTGAAATATTTGTCTTTTTATGTCTTCAGAAAAAGCGTTTGTATACACCAGTGGCGGCTCGTCGTATAAAGCAACTGAGGCCGTGCCTCACATGTTAAAATTATAATATAATTTGAAATGTTAGATAGGTACATTACTTATTTAAATATAAAACGTTTTTAAACTAATTTCAGTCATTAAAAGTATCAAAACATCGAAAAACCATCAAAGTTTAAAATATTTCCTTTAAATTTAGCGCGCACCCCTTCCAACTTTAATTCCAAACGCTTAAATCATTGCCCAACCGCATAATAGGGAAATAGTAATCCCAGAAATTTGCGCTTCATATACTTCACACATTGCAGATACACCATCATGCTCCCGCAAGGCGGGGATAATACTCGAATTTTTGTAGACATTGAGGCCCACACAGTTGGGCTTGTACGACAGTATATGGAAGACAGCAGAGTCAGTCCCGAGATCTGTGCGGCTCGTTGTTGTAAAAGACTGGGCGGGGCGTGGAATGTTTTAGTAAACAAAGCTTATTAATTAGATCTATGCGTGTTTAAAGTTTCTTATTTAAAATGGAAAGTTTTGATAAAAATGCAAGCGTAAAATACATTATTGTGTTGTAAATTCATGTCAAAATAATTCAAATAATTATAAAAGATCATTTTTATTTTAACATATTATTATATTAACACACAAATACCACAGTAAAAATCACAAGAAATATAAATAAAAATATTCTTGTTTTTTTATAGTTCAGTGTTAAATCGTTGAGTTTCATATACCTACTGTGCTTGTACATTATTATTTTGTTGTTGTGCGGTTGTACCTTTATTAATCTAAAAATAATTATTGTAAGATGGAGGAATAAATTAAAATCCCACCTCGTCCCGCAATTTTTGTATTATTCTAGCTAAATTTTGAAAATTCTTCTCGTGAAAGAACATATTTTTAAATAATATATTTTTATTATTTAGATTCTGAAGTGCTCAAAAAACGCGAGACTTTGAAAATTCCAAAAAAAAATTGCCTGCGGTGCCATATAGCTGTTCATGGGCCTCACCTTCATGAATGGTCATGAGCCGCCACTGGTATACACTATTTAAAATACAGATTGAATTAAATATTTAATTTGCAGAATCCCATCGGACTACAAATGTTTCACGCTGTGGAATTTTTGGTTTCAATGGTTATACAAATGTTTTTATTTTATTGGAATGCAAATGAAATAATCGTTGAAGTAAGCCTTTTAATATTTATTTATTTATTTATTTATAGCTAGTATAACCTAGTCTTTTTCTGAAAAATATTTTTTCAAAAATTTAATTACTGTTCACGGCGGTCCTCAAGGGTGAATAGGTTGACCAAAAATGTAGCCAAAAACTATTTACTACATCTAATTGTACTCCACTTGGGCTCTCTAAAACCATTTTTAGGTAAATCGCAGCTGATCGAAAACTTGATTTTTTTTAGTTTTTAGAGAAAATCATGGAATTTTATTAGTTTTTTTTTGTTACATTTTTTGTTATATCAAAAATATTTGTAATTTTGGTTACACTCGAATAAAAATCTCATCTTTTGATCTTTTCAATAACATTAGGCAACTACTTTCACAAAACATGAAACATTAATAACTAAACCTACAAAATTTAATGACAAGAAGAAAAATCTACTACTGCTTTTCTCAAACTCAAACCATAGCTTGCAGTGTCCAAACAATTAATTTTATATTTTTCCCAGGTAAGTTCTAAATAAACCAACATTTGAAGTGCCATTTCTTGATTCATTAATATCAGAAAAAATAAGGGGACAACAGACAACAGAATTGTGCTTCCTGCAATTGTGGGAAATTCCTTTACCAACTTTTTGCAACATTCACTACATGTTCTAAAATTTGCTTTTTTTTTCTTCCATTTAGGATTTTTGCGTGTTAGTTTGTGACCTTTAAAACTAGTAATGGTACATAGTCGACAGCTACATGGTGACATGTGAGTCTTGTTCTTGGATGTAGCTCAATTTTGTCAAAACCCGATTCTTTTTTGGGAAGAGGTATTTTTAAGATATTCTGTCTCCTATCGTATCAAGACAAATGACAATTGCCACATACTGCATTGGGATATCTACTGTCATTTTTGTCAAATTTAAAGCAGTGTAGATTTATCAAATTGTATAGGCTATCATTTAATCTAAATTTTGATGGATTGCATTTTCCAAAAACTATCTTCCTGGTGGATTTTGGGCACACCCATATCACAATTTTTAGACATGGGGCCCACATCAAATTTATATGAGTACATTATATTCAATTTAAATTGAAGTTTGGGAAAAAAGTTAGTTTTTTAGTGTGCCCCCAGCCTCCTGCCCCCCAAATTAAGATAATTTAAATTCAAATGGTGCAATTTATAATTTACTACAGTTTATCAACAAATTTCAAAATTTATTTAAAAAGTATTACAGATTTTATATCATTTCTATTTTTTTTTTTATTTAAATTATAATTAATAAAAATTTTAAAATCTGTAATACTCGGACTTTTTAAATAAAGTTTGAAATTTGTTGATTATATTGTGAATTGTGAATTTTAAATTGCATATGGGTACCATGTGTAATAACTGAGATATTAATTGGTGTACCCAAAATCCACCAGCCGTCACAGAGACTTTTTGCAGTATTACTTTGAACTTAAAACACTACTTTAAATAACACAACAAGCACAAACATCTAAATAAAACTTATTTTCTCTGTTCAATAACAATTGAAGTGTTTTCATAACAACATATTTTGTTTTATTAGATTTCATGGCACCCTTTACCTACATTTTTATTAAATTTTTTGCAGTACGGATAAAAATTTGATACTAAACCATGATTTCAATTAATAAATACTACTAAATGTTATTCAGAAGATGAAATAATTTGATTTTCAATAAGATAATGATTAAAATTACACAAACTTTTGATATAAAAAAAATGTAACAAAAACAAAACTACTAAAATTCCATGATTTTCTTTTAAAACTAAAAAAAAATCAACTTTTCGATCAGCTGCGATTTACCCAAAAATGGTTTTAGAGAGCCTAAGTGGAGTACAATTAGATGTAGTAAATATTTTTTGGCTACATTTTTGGTCAACCTATTCACCCTTGAGGACCGCCGTGTGTTGGTGCCAAAGTCAAAGCAAAAAAAATATTTTTATTATTATACAAGGTGTCCCCAAACTTATTGGCATAAATTTAGTAAAAGATTGAGCCAGTCAAAATAAGACGAAAACCCAAATATTTTCCTAATTACTTAGGTTTCCAAGATACAGGGTGATAAAATGTTACTTATCATATCAGTTTTTTTTTAATATAACATTTACTATGGTAGTCTTGGAAAGGTGATATTTTGCGAAGGTACATATATGATAACAAATTTTATTTTTTAATTGAAAAAACTAAAAAGGGCATTCCATAAGCCTCGGGACCTTTTGCCCTGACCGTCACATTAAAAAAATTGTAGTTTTTCCAATTAAAAATTTTGTTATCATATACCTTTTAGTCCTTTAATGCGATATAACAATTATTGTAATTTCGAATATCTCGGGAACGGTTTATTTTATCGAAGTTTGAAAGGTACACCTTTTTAATAGTAGCCGAACTGAGTAATCGAAAAATTGCATCAAATTGTATAAAAACCTCAATGTTTGTATGGGACAATAAGCTTAAGCAACCCCTGTTTCTACGACCCTGTGTTCACTCGAACAATTGTAATTATGTGTGAATATGTGTTTTGCTAGTAAGTGACTGTTCGGAAAATATCACCTTTTCAAGTCTACTATAGTAGAAGTTATATTTAAAAAAATGATATGATAAGTAACACTTTATCACCCTGTATCTTTTAAACATACGTAATTAGGAAAAATATTTATTTAGATTTTGGTCTTATTTTGACTTGCCTAATCTGATCCTAAATTTATGCCACTAAGTTTAGGGACACCTTGTATAACAAACACAAAAACGGCAATGAAAACTTAAACGATATAAAATAACACAATAAAAAAATAAACGAAATTATACACGAATTAAACGAAATATTCAAAAACCCAGCTTCGAAATTCTAAAACGTCAATTCCTTTTTCCATGCGTCATTTTATTAAGCAAAATTTTAATCTAAACATGGCAACATTGCAATTGCTGCCAACTAAAGTGGTTTAAAATGCAATAAAATATTCAATTACAGACTTCGTTTTGTACATTTAGTATTGGTATCAGTGCGAAAAATTATGACGTCATCGATGACGTGCGTCGTTTCCTTTTAAATTTACTATATAATGATATCCAGAAAGTGGGGTTAGAACCGTCCTAGAAAAAGTATAGTTTGCAATTCGTTTTATGAATTTTTATAGACACTCGTTTATTAAACACATGCTAGGCAAGCTACGTCTGTGCCTAATTAATACTCGCGCTGTTAATTAAACTTGTTGGCATTTTGCAATAAAAAACATTTTATTTTTATAAAAATTATAAGATTTTACAATTTTAAAATTATTTTTTAATTATTTTTTTATTGCTTAATAGTTTTTATTAACATTTTATATGGATTGATTAAAAGGTTTTAGCTTTTTAAAGAGAACAATATGAATTGTATTTAGTAATTTTACCTGGTTATAAAATTAAAAAATAATTAAAAATATGTGACGTTACAAAATCATATTTAGTTTTATAGTACCTTGACATTAAATTATAATGCCCTTGTCAAAAACACAGGGACATATTCGCCTGTAGGTATAAGAAGCAAACAGTAAACAATGGACCACAAAAAAGCCCATTTTCCAAACTCGAACAAAATGAAAAACGTTATTATAACGTTTAAATACTTTAGTTTTGGAGCATAGTGCATCCCGTGGGATTTTTTGTGAAGGGAAGATAAAACTATCTGAAATCAGTTTTTTATACACAAGGCAGTAGTGTATTATCGGGTGTTTTGTTAAAAAATGTGTCAATTTTTTATGACGTCATTAATCCGATACCTAACTGTTATTTTAGTTATGCGTTTATAAAATGTCGCTAAAAAATTCGTAATTAGTGGTCCTATTAAAAAATTATATGATCTCTTAAAAAACCATGAAAAAGGAAAAAAAAATATTTAAAACATTTTTTTTATCTCAAATGGTTAAGAAAATATTGGCTTTTGAAAACTGACATATTGTTATATTTTTATATTTTGCATGGATCGATTTGGAGCCATTTTGCAAGAACTTTGAACTTTTATGAGCTGTAACTCAGCTATTTTTGATTCGATTAAAACGTTGTTTTTACCGTTGGATGAGAAATTAAACCACCTTGGGTAATTCCATTTATTAGCCACCAATGAGTGCACCTCATATACTCTAATTTTATTTCTTTTTTAACTGTAAATAGACATGGACCCAAGAACTCCCCTTTTCTTTTTCCCCCTATCACCTATTTATACAGGGCTACGCAAAAGTTACTATGCAGACCTAACTTAAAAAAATTGTACTTTTTTTGCTAATAAAGCTATCGACATTAAACAAACTGATAATTGTTAAGAAAATATTTCTCTTTTAAACCATATAGGACACATTTAGTTATTGATGCCCTAAATGGTCTTTGGGAATTTTTTGGCAAAATTGTCTAATTTTATAAATTCATATATTCTTAGATCAACTATATAATATAATATAATATAATATATAATATTGGCTAAGAGTTCAAAAAAATATAATAAAAATCCATGTTTTCAAAAAATCACTATTTTCAGCCATTTAAACTCAAACATTTTTAAACCATGAAATGGCTGAAAGTCAGGTGGGCATATTGTGGATTTTGCTTATAGCTGGGCTGTACATACAGCCACAGCCCAGTTAAAAGCAAAATACACAATAATTTTATTAATGGTTATTGCAGGCTAATAAGTGCATGTGATGATAAGCATAAATTGGTTTAAATCGACTCACTCAAACATAGCCTTTTTAAACCATGAAATGGCTTAGCATTGTGTTTTTTCGATTTTTTTCACAGGAAAAATTAGATGCCTGAATGGTATTTGACAAGACTATTTCATGAGTAACAGTTAACAATTAAAATATAAATTGCAAATTTTGGTGACAACAGCTGTCAAGTTTTGCCGCGGGTAAACTCGAATAAACTGCTGACAGGTGCTGTCACACAGTTTTTTCACCTAGAAACCATTTGTAATTCAAAATTGCGCGCTTGTGATTGGTGGAAATTAAGACGAGGGAAATAGTCAAGGTAAACACCCAGTTTTGTGCACACAACTCAAAAAGGTATAAAAAAGCTATCCCATATAGTCGCAACATCCTTTCATAACAAATCCCACGGAGAATATTTTATTGCTTCATGCTCCAGGACTACTTGGAAAAAGTGGTAGGTATTGAGTTGTTATTATATAATACGTATATCTTACCCAACTTATTTGTTGATGTCTTACGTTACATATTTTTTATAATCTTTACCAAAATTATGCTTTTCTTTTTAATATAACTTTTTTTAATTACGAAAAATTGCGTACTACATTGCTTTCAGAATTAAATGAATTAACTTGCATATTCTTGAACGAATACAAGGTATTTTAAATAAAAGCAAAAATAAGAAAAGTCTAGTTTTAATTGGCAACTGAAACAAAATGTTATATGATTATCATACTATGATACAACATTTTGTTTGAGTTGCCAATTAAAACTGGACTTTTCTTATTTTTGCTTTTATTTAAAAGACCTTTTTAAATGAGTTGATTACTTAAGCACAACCCTTCCAGACAAACAAACAATATTTTAATTAAGTTAAAAGGTTAATTAAAGCTGTTTACATTATTTAAGTCAGGATATAAATTGTCCATTTTAATTATTTAATTTAAAATAACTTTATTGCTATAAAATAAATATTATGAATATAACATTCAACTTAATAATAAGTGAAAAACATATTGTACTTTTCACTCTTTTAATGCCCAATTGGTTGACTGGAATATATTCACCCATAATATAACAAGTGGTATGATTATCATCGATGATATTTTCGAATTGAAACCGAGCTGCAGATTTCACGAGTCCGCAGGACGAGTGAAATGTGCTGCTTCGGTTTCAATGAGTAAATATCTTCGATTATTAATCATACCACGAGTTATATTTAGTGAGAAAATATAATGAATTTTAGGAATCAAAAAATTTGTCAGATTGACATTTAAAATTAAAATGTGCTTTAAAATATAAAAAGACTTTAATAAACCTTATTTATTCAAACTTACCTTAATTTCATTATCGTTTACACCAACCCATCGATCTTTTAGAGTTTATAATTCATTATTTTATTGATATATATCAAATACAGAATTTAAATGACAACAGATGTTAAATCAAAAAAAGTGTCAAAATTCTTAGTAACGTGTAAACAAGATGATAAAAATTATTGCCGCTGTGATAAAATACGTCACTATGGAATACTGGCATTTTATTGGTTCTAATATTAATGAATTGTATTGTCACACCTATAGGTGCAATAGGATCAAATAAAAAATTACCAAAATATAAATGAAACTGTTCATTGAAACATTTAACTTTTGTCTAAAAATTAATAGAAATCATTTAAATATGCAGTGGTATGTCGCTGTTGCCAATAGGCTTTTTTCTTAGGTCCTAACACATAATATGTTATTACAATAAAATAAACAGTTTTTTCTACTCCCACCTTTAAAACGTTCTTTATCGTACATGTTTCCATGACACTATAGTGACTATAGTGACCTTTTAAATACACATTGACAAGTTATGGCTTTATAACGCTTTAGTCACGGGCTGAAGTTAGCAACAGGTTTTTTGTCACAGGCTGAAGTTAGTTTTAAATTAGTTGACAGATATCAAATGTCATACTATCGTTAAAATAAATTGCCTTTCTTGTAAAATAATACTACCTAAATGTGAAAATTATTTTATTATCTCAATACAAAAATACAAAAGTTTTAAATAGTTTCTCAAAGCCAATATTTGAAAAGTTTATATATAAACTTGTACTGACCTTATAATTTCGCCGGCGGTAAACTATAACTTAAATTCGGGCACGGACTCCACTGTAAAGTGCTCATAAAACATTTTCTTTACTTTCACTGTGAAAAACTGTAAATTTTCAAGAAATACATTTCGATTTATAACCTTTATAATTGTGTTCATAAAATGTAAAAATTTGACATTTGACGGTGACACACAGATTCCCCTATTGTTTTATAGATGGCGCTCTATACAAATTTTTGGTCAGCGATTCGATTATGTTTAGTTTGACACCATTCGCAACCAGGTTGGCTGTTTTCAACTCGTGATAGGTCCAAAATTGTAAAGCTGCATTTGAAATACAAATAAAAAAATAAAAATTTAAATATCGCAAACCTGCATTTGAAAAACATGACTATTATTATAAATTTTTTATCACATGAATTGTTATAATATTGGTTAGATTTTAGAAGACAAAAAAACAAAAATTTTCCATTTAAACTTCATATTTTTAAACCATCAAATCCTTTAAACTAACACTAACTAAAAGTATTTCATGAACCCATGCCCGTTTCAGAGTAAGGCCATATCGAAATCCGTAGGAAACTCCGAATGGTATAACGAAAGCAAAGAGGTTAAACATGACTTGCAAGTCATTATAACGAGAGCGCAAAAGCCGCTAACCGTATCGATAGGCACCTTTTATCCCATGTCGACGGACACTGCGATAGCGGTAAGTAACCCCCGAGAATATAAAGGATTATTTTAGTCCTTTACGATTACATCGTCGTACAAAAATAAGATTTATTTCATACATCGACACATTTTAAGAAAAATATTGGGCGGCGGGGTCTACTTTTTTCTTTTGACCTTTGACCTTTGACATTTGACCTTTGACCTTTGACTGACCCTTTATCATATCTAATGTAAATTACAAATTAAAAGCTGACAATAAGTATATCTGCAAAGAGACAAGTTATATTGACAATAAATATGACATTTTTAAACTAGATTTGTAAAACCCCACACAGTGCGCTGTATCCTATACGAGTATTATTTTCGGCTACGACGATCGACATCAAAGATGCGTTCTGCATATTATGTTTTTGTTGTAGATCTTGAAAGCAACGTATTCCTATGGAATGCTAATAAGGCAATCGTACAATAGAAAACTTTAACTAAACCACAGTGGAATAATAGTTTACTTTTATAGATACGAAATGTTGTTCGTTTTTAGTTATATGGATAAGGAACCAGTTTGATGGTTTAATGGTTTAATCTTTATTATATTACATTATAAAATATATAATTTATATTACATTTGTGTTTCATTTAATTTAAGCTAAATATGTAAAGGTTTAATGCGTTTTAATTTTAATTCTGAAAACAAGCAGTAAAATGGCCAGTGTCCAATTACTGGTTGGTAAAAAATGTAAATTTATATTATTGGACATAATATGTCAGCTGTCATTCTTCAAGTATTGACATATTATGTCCAATATCACACTCTATTTATATCCAGGACATTTACCAGCCAATTCTTATGTAAAATTGTCCCCTGAATCCGAAAAGAACGTCAAAAACAGTTTTTGAGATATAGTCAATTCCATATTATATGTAAAATTGGTTATAAACTACATAATTTTTAGAAATTAAAATTTTCAGAATTTCAAAATGTTCAAAATTTCCAAAGTATCCAAAAGTGTTAGTAGTAAGTAAGAGTGTTTGTTATTATTAAATTAATTATGTTTCAGAGATTTAAAGGGTTTTTGTAGAAATACCCATTACAGTTTTTATTATTATTTAAGTGTTTATTAATAAATCATGATTTTTTTATTCGTTCAGAAAACATTATTCAAACCGTTTTTTGTGCTCTTAGTAAGAGAAAGAATAATGTATTTTGAAGTTAGGATTTCTGCCAAGCTTGGTGTAAGAAAATCCTTACATCCCATTATATAAGATTACATCATAACCGCAGAATAAAACCGGTAATTCTTAGTTCAAAATCTACTTTTATTCTTAGTTGAAGAATAATCAATAATTAATTCCAGGCAATTTAGAGAGTAAAGATTTTTTATCCAATTATCATATGTGATTGTATACGTTAAAAACTTATATAATCATTACTATCGTGTTAAAAACTGCAAAATTTGAGAATAATCCCAATTTTATAGGAATAAAATTGTATAATAAGCTGCCATTTGCCTTTAAAGAAGTTTTAAATATAAAAAATTATTTTTTAGAACACTGTTTTTATACCTGCGATGAGTTTTTACTTGTGTATTTGAGCTATTTGAGGTTTTATTTTATTTTATTTTTATTCTTATTGTTTTATTACCACTGTAAATTATTTTCAAATTTTATTAGTATTGAATGCAACATTATCTGATTATTTTTATGCACGAGTGTAATTCGTTTACATAATTACACGAATAAACTAATTAAATCAAAAAATAACATTTTCAAATATTTTAATTTCAACACAAAACTTCATTTAACAAATAATTGATCCCACACATATTTTTTGTTGTTTGCAGTATTTTTTGGTACACTATTTTTCACATTTTCATTATACATTTTCATTAATTGATTGAAATGATTTTTTACCAAAACGTAACATTTTAAATAACTGTCACATTAAAATAAAAACTGTCGTTATTTTTATTACAATGTTTAAAATATCTGTGGTGTAAAGAGTAATCTTAAAATGGTGTCAAAATCCAACACCAAGTGGTGTTAATATAAACACCATTAATTATGGTTAAAAATGTTATATACAACAAACGCCAAAACGGTGTTTATCTAAAAATATTTGAGAAGTGCACATTCAAAGAAAAAAAGGAATAGTTCATTTAACTATATTGATTTAGTTGACACATAAGTATTTATTTAAATCAACTGTGGGAAGGTTAATATAAAAAAAGATAGTTATTTTATTTTTTTTAAATTGGTTAAATTATCCCAGAAAACATTAGTGAAACCAACCCGCTTTATGGTTCAGTTTACTAAATATGTTGTTTGTAAAATAAGAGTTACTTCAACCTAAAGCACTCTTATAAAACTATTAAAACAATTTGCCGTGCATTTTTGGTTGCATAGTGTGTACCGATCGTGGCAACGGCGTTGTAATCACGTGATTTTCTTAAATCTCGCCTCTGTTGACTTACATGAAGAGTATATAAGCTCAGGTAGTCCTTTACTTTGGTGTGACACTACAATTTGTTCGATACTTTAGAGACCTTAAATAGGTGGAAACAGCTGTCAATACTTGAATAATTTTCAGTTGGTGGAACGCACTAAAAACATTATCTCTAGCGAGTTGAAGGCTCAATTTTCTGGATAATACCACTGGTAATATACTAGTAATGCGTCAAGGAACTTCCTGTTTCTTTTTTTTTCCTTTTTTTCTGTGTAGTATGATTTAATTTGACCAAAAATATATTATATTTAACACTGAAAAGGAGTTCAATTTACACCAGGTAAAATTTATTTTAATACAGTGTGAAAGTTAAATTTACACTATTTTAGTATTTGAATTTACACTGGACCAATGAACTGTATTTAACACCATTTTGGTTTGTATCGATATAGACCATGTATGAAGCTAATTTGTTGTTAAAATGGTCATGAAATTTTTAACAGTGTAATTGCTATGGATACGTAGCTACAATGGAATTATCGATTCCTACTCTCTAAAAATGAAACAGTGGATTTTCACTGATTGACAGTGCATATTAACTATTTGCCGCAGTGATAAGTATACCACTAGCAATTAGTGAATACTCACTTTTTCATGTAGCGAGTTCTTCGCACTAATTTAATTAATGGAAATAACACTGTACAAATTAGTGAAATAGGTTTAGTTCAAAAAAGTTAAAATTTCACTATTTTATGTCGAGAGTTCCGAAAAAGTAGTGATAATAAAAACACTAATTTGGAGAAGTTAAAATTTCACTAATTTATATTGAAAAACACTAATTTTACAGTGAATAATAACTCACTGACGGAAATAGTGAAAATTTCACTGTTTCACTTTTAGAGAGTAGTAGACAATTATCGCTGTAATCAAGCGATAATTGTCTTGTAGGCATAAATAAGAGGGTAATTATCATTAATAGAAAAAATATTTGCTTCTTTTATAACTTACTAACGACCCGAACAAAAAGTCTAATCATATTTTTATAGAAAAGAAAATAATGTACTTTTAAAATAATAATATATTAATGTTAATATTTGTTCTGTCAAGTCTGACGCAAAAAAATAACCTTTAAGAAAATTATTTTATTATCTCAATACAAAAGTATTAAATAGTTTCTCAACGCTAATATTTGAAAAGTTTATTTCAATATTGAACAAACCTTTTAATTTCGCCGGCAATAAACTATAACTTAAATTCGGGCACGGACTCTACTGTAAAGTCCTCATAAAACATTTTCTTTACTTTCACTGTGAAAAACTGTCAATTTTCAAGAAATACATTTCGATTTATAACCTTTGTTTGTGTTTATAAAATAAAAAAATGTGACATTTGACGGTGACACAGTTTCCCCTATTGTTTCATAGATGGCGCTCTATACAAATTTTTGATTTAAATCATTTTAAGATAATAATAGGTATTTGTGGTAGAAAAAGTATAGTATGCACCTCGTTTATAAACTTTTCTATACACTCATTAATTTAAGCACTCGCTCGCAAGCTTGCTCGTGCCTAAATTAAATTCGTGTATAAAATGGGGTTTTTCAAACTTGATACATAATATACTATTATCTAATCCTACATTGACGAGCTGTGACTTTATGGCGTTTTAGTCACGGGCTGAAGTTAGTAATAGTGGCTTTTGGGCATTTTAGTCACGGTCTGAAGTTAGCTTTATTATAAACTAGAGAAAAGTGAGGTTAATTACGTTGACATTTGACAGATGCCAAATGTTTAACAAATAAAATTGGATTTAAATTCTTCTTTGTGGTCGTCGTAGATAAAGTATAGTATGCAACTCGTTTTATAAACTTATCTAGACACTCGTTTTTATTAAACACTCGCTTGCAAGCTTCGCTCGTGCTTAATAAAACTCGTAACTAAAATAGTGTTTATAAAACTTGATACATAATATACTATTATTTTAAGGTTATTAAATGACATGAAGCATAAATGCATTGCCGACTATATAAAAAATAATACTGTGGAGTTAGCATTAAATATCAAAAATTTATTATTAAATTGTAATAAATTAGTTAAAAAGTATATTTTATTACAAGATACGTTTTATAACTAATAACATGAACTAAGACAAACAATTGTAAATACGTATAGCTTAATTTTTCAATGTTCTTCCATTCCATTATCTTTACAAATTGCCAATAAATCGGCTCAACTGGGGAAAAGCGATAAGAATATTTTTTACGTTGACAAAATTACACTGGATTTTATTAGCTTTTTCCATGTCTGATGTATTTTTCTTTGGAACCTTAACTTTTATTTCATCAGCCAATATCTATCAATATTTATTTCACTTTTTTTAGTTATTAAAACTTTAAAACAATGCCATTAAAAACGCAAAATGTGAATTATATTTGAAAGTGTCTGCTTTGTTGATGTTTATTTAATTATATATTATAGGTTTTACCGCATGTTAGAGGACAATAATTCATTTTAAATTTTAAATACATGTATTTAAAATTTAAAAAGAAATATTAATATTATTACCTACCTATATGTACTCTCTAAAAATGAATTAGTCAAAAATGACTAATTTAATAGTTATTAGTGGCTGCTTTTTCACTTGTACCATGGTTAACTATGGGATGCCATGATATCCCAAAATTTAACACCCAATTCTTATGTAAAATTGTCCCCTGAATCCGAAAATGTCGTCAAAAGTTAAAAAAAGTAGGACAGTTTTTGAGATATATTCAATTTTCCATTTAATATGTAATTGACTATATCTCAAAAACTGCTCGACTTTTGGATTCAGGGGACAATTTTACATAAGAATTGGCTGTTAAATTTTGTATATGATATGATATAAAATTTGAATCTTGCATATAATTTTTTAATCAGGATGAAATCCTTGCACTCTCTAAAAATGAAACAGTGGATTTTCACTGATTGACAGTGCATATTAACTATTTGCCGCAGTGATAAGTATACCACTAGCAATTAGTGAATACTCACTTTTTCA